TTAGCAAGTCCTTTATAATCAAGTTTTACTGTATTTATGACAGATGTAGATCTAGCTTGCAGTTTATGTACTGATCTCTTTTAAATTTTCAGTTTTTTTTTTCAAATTTGAACTTTATACTCAGGGAATTTGGAGAAGAAAAAAAACATTGCCTAACTTGGTCATAACAATTTCATAGATCACTATATGTTTGGCCAGATTTAATTTCTATAGAATACTGACTAGAGTGTGACATTAAAACCTGAACAGACCAAGAGTGGGGGGAGATCTCAATGTCAGGGTATTTAAATGTTTAGCAAGTGGAACAAAGGAAATTGATCATCAGATTTAAATGTTATTCATTTGATTTAGTAAGTGTACATACCATTTAAACTTGAGATGAATACACAGTATAGCTCTTGAAGAGTAAATTTGGACCCTTAATGGTTAAAAGTTTGCATTGACTGTAAACTTGAATGGTGTTCTAGGGATTGCCCCTCTAAGCAGAAGTGTTTTACATAGGGATAAGGTTTGAGGTTTTTCTTTGAAATGTTTCTATTTTCAAACTTTCAATGAAAATACAAGCACACTTGAGAAACATATTGTATATAAAAGGATTCATGTAAGAGAGCAGGAACCAGCTGACACAGTAACATATTGTACCTGACAAACACAATTTCATATCCAAGTAAGGCTCTTATTTTTTTAAACAATTTTTTAACTTTATCCCTAGAAATTTAGATAATCACTTTTAGCACAAGAACTTTATAACATATCTGACACTGATAAGCATGCATGTGCACATATTGCTCAACTTTTTATCTGTAAGGTCTTGTCTTGGTCTGACAAGAAGTCATCATTTAGAGTATGGAGGAAACCAAATTTTAAAAGATTTTAGCTCACCTGAGCTAAAGGCTCCAGTGAGCATTTTGGATCAAAATGTGTCCTTTGTCTGTCATTTGGCATGATTGAAAATGTTATTGACGTCTTTAAGAAATTTCATGTTTCTTTAGAATTATCTAGTCTAGTATATCAGTATATAAAAAGTTGTGATATTAACCAAAATACACCAGAATATTGATAATATTGCAGTCTGCCTAGCACGTACCATATGTTGAAAATAAATTGGATAAACTCTTTGTATGCATTACAAGTTTATATGACAGAAAACTTCATTTCATCTAAAATGGATTAATTATTGATTTAAATATGAATTTATCAACTATGTTTTCTTTAAATGCAATGAAAATATAGTTTATATCTTTCAAGATCATTGTTGATGCTCATAGCCCGACTTGTTTGATATTGCCAGTAAATTGCGCATACAGAATATTGCATAATGGAGTGTGCTTTGATTTAAGATTTCTTAATACTTATCCAATGTTTACAAAGCAAGGGATTGCTTTAATGACTTTCAAGTTCAGTATTACCTACCAGCCATATGGTCTTTAAAAATAGAATGTCAATAAATTGATAAGTTTGTATGAAAATAATGATATTGACCCAAGATCAAAATTCAGAAATTAATTAAAGACCCCTGTTTTTGCTGCAGAAAGAGACCTGAAGTGCTATGGTTGATTTTTTTTGTTCTTAAAGGTTGATAAAACATGTTTTCTTGAATAGAGGGCTCTTATGCATTCCTTAGTCCAAAATGTGTGAGGGAGAGAAAAAATCTCTGTATAGAGTTGGTTTTAAGTGGAAATTTATAGCAACAGATGATTGAAAACTATCAAGAGCTACATTTTTCTCCTGGACTCCTTAGTAGTGGTGGTTATTTAAACATTAATGAAGGAAAAGAAACATGTTTCAAATTTTCTTTCTATGGAGAATATCATTCTTGAATTGTTCATGTTTTCGTGTAAATAACCAAGTTTATCTTGGGAAGAAAATCAAGTACCTGTTTTAGATCTGGATTAAAAAACCAAAGAAATTTATAATTAATGAAGGAATTATTAGGGATTGACAATTATTTCATTATAATGTTTGTGTCAGGCATCAGTGAGAATTAAAACTTGTGAGATTTAATCCCAGACCAAATGAGCAACATTCGATTTTGAAAAGGGAAATTGTGATATATCTGAAACTTATTGGCATTTTGTCGATACGAAAGTGCAAATGGGCTCATTTTTTTCCATAAAGACCTGGCTGTTTTTTCACCATGTTGAACATTTACCTGTGCCAAAAGTCAAACACAATGGTACAAGTCAGACAGGTGATGTTGAAAAACCTCAGAAGAATTCTCGACAAGGGACCACTGTGTTGTACGAGGTTTTTCTCTCCATATATACAAATCAAATCTAAGATCTAATACTGAGCTAAGTGGCATATGAAAGGATTTTACATTTCTTTGATTTTTTTAGAAAAAATCATTAGTGATATTCAGATTTGGATTAAAAAAAAATAATTTTAATTTTACATCTGTGGTGACAGCAGTTAATTGATGACTAATTAATCAGTGATATGCTGAATCTTGATAGAAATATTAACTTCACATCTCCTCCATTGTGGCAAGAAAAATATGCAGTTCTTCCTCCAATGTAAGTGACTTTTAGTGTACAGCAAACTCAGAGTCACTCAGGTGACATTGTATTTGTATTTTGTTCTGTTGTAAATGGCCGTTGATCTGGGAATAAATATGCCATAAAACATGACATTTGAGAATCAATCATCTGATGATCAATATTAGCTGATAACACCTGATAAAAGTGAATTTGTCGGGAATTCTGAAGAGTTCACTATATAATGAAAAATTTTGAAAAATAATAGACGTTGCTGCAGATATCGTAACACCATGTCTAATAACTAAATGACAAGCATCTGAATCAAGTTGCAGTGGATAGAGAAAGAATTCACCTTTACAAAATTTCCCAGCTTTTCATTTACTTTTGCTTACTGTTTTAGATCTTTTATTTCATTGTAGATGTATTTTATTTGCACCTGTATAATTTTAGCTCACCTGAGCTGAAAGCTCAATGAGCTCTCCTAAACTCTTGTTGTCTGGCATCCATCCATCTGTCTATCTATCCCTCTGTCAGTGTAGATTTTTCACATTTTTGATGTCTTCTCTCTGGAGTAATTTAGTAAGTCTTATTTTGATTAAACTTGTATGAATGATATGTTGTAAGATGCACACTTCCAGGTTTCAGATGCTGGTTCTGACCTACATTCTCTGGATAAGTGATCAGGTAAAAGTTTTGGAGCAAGTCTCATTTCTAAGTAACTTTTTAAAACTTGCATGGATGATACATCCAAGTATATACACACTACCAGCCTTGCTTCAGATGCTGGATTTGGTTTAACATTTTCCAGATGAGAATTCTAACCAGGTTATTGTAGCAGGTTTATTCTAAAGTAACTATTTGCCCTACCTGGACCAAACTTGTACATCTAAGGATGCTCACTACTGGGCAGGATACTAAATATGAACTACATTATCTAAGTGAGTGACCAGGTTAAAGACTTTGAAGCAGTTTCTTTCTGATGTATAAGCCATAAGCTTTCAAACTTTGCACAGATGATGAATTTATATGCACAGTACTGGAGTTGCTTAGAATGCTGGATCTGACCTATATATTCCAGAAAAGTGACCACGTTAGGCCATAATAAAAATATTCCTAGATTCTCATCCCTGCCCGCCCCGATTTTATACCCCCGCCTCGATCTTTTTTATTTCTGTTTTTCCTCGTCTAAATTCTGATCGGGATCGATATCTACCATTCTATTTTCGTTTTAAATCCCGCGAAAGTCGACATAATTTTCACAGCTGAAAAGATGGTAATTGCTGTAATACATGCGTATATATTTTAAACAAGGGTCAGTGGTTGAAAAAGATTGGTGATGATGTGAAGTAAGAGATAATTGAGCCTTTACTATGACTTTTATTCGGGTATTGTAGATAAAATTACACCGACTGACCAGGTCAATAAAAAATCTGCAAAATTGAAAAAATAAAAAATATAAAATAAAAGCTGCCCGCCCGCCTCGAATTTTAAAAAAATTCGGATGAGAATCTAGCAGTTTATTTATTATGGCCTTAATGATTTTGGAGCAGGTAAATTTCCAATCCACTATAAGACTTACCTGGACCAATCTCACATGGATGATGCATCTGGGGATAAATATTCCAGATGAATGACCAGAAAAATCTTTTTAGGAGAAAGCCCATAAGTCCTATAAGTATGTGAATGATGCATGTATTTGTCAAGAATTTCCTGAACCAAACTTGCTTGAATGATGCATCTACTAGGGATGTACACTACTTGATTAATAACTTAGTATTAAATTTTGTGTTACTTAAAAAGAACTTCAATTGAAATAAGCTCTGTAAAGTCTGATTATCTGGGTTTTTTTTAGAAGAAAAAAAAGATTAAAGAAAGATAACTCTTAATTGCTGAAGGAAACATTATATTCTGACTTTAAAGTAGTTGCTTTATTATGTTTTCTGACATGTATTTACTTTATCATACCTTTATTGAGGATACTTTTGATTGGCTTATGAGAAGGATTTAAAACTAAATAAATATTAAAAAAAAGTACATATTGCATGTTAGGAAAAATGCATTTGAAAGATAATGATCCAGTCATTTTAAATAATGACTGCGAAATAAAAGTCTGTTATAATCAAAATCTGATCCTTCAAATAAACTCGATGCATAACATAATGATTATGCTTAAATACTGCACTAGATTGTTATTTTACTGTACTCCGGAGTAGTAAAATTAAAATAAATTTTACTTCATTGTTTTTATGTCCCAATCAAGTGATGGTAAATATTTGTGAAAGGTCAACAAACCTGAACAATTTCAAAAATTACACCTATGAAAGAATTTAATTTGGTATGATAAAACTATTGATTATAACCCTGTGAGGACAACAAGGTGAAATAAGGACCCTACTGACTAGACCAGGCCCAGGAAGTGACCTGACTTGACCAAGGTCACATGGCACAACTCTGCTCATGTAGAACTTTTTAAAAAAATTATAATGGAGAAACTTACTTTTTGCTTTTCTCAGTCAGGAGGAGATGAATGCTGATGAAGATGGGGACCCCGATGATGGCTGGGGGCATCACATCATCTCCTGGGGATGTGGAGAATTCGGTCAGCATTGCCATGGTTACAAGGAAGACGTGGAATTCTCCAAAGGCCTTCTGAAGGGATTCCCCTCGGGGCAGACCAAATTTATTGCATGTGGGGCTAGTCACACTATTCTAGTCACAGGTATATATATTTTGTTTTATAGTTACTTTTGAAAATTTATACAAATTTAAAAGATGAATAGATAACCCAAATAGGACACTATGTATTAAAAAAAAACAATATTTTTCTTAAAAATTTATTTATAGAAAAATTATCAAATCTGTATCTTTTAATATTCTCAAGATATACCGGGTAAGCAGTGCATGAATAAAATATCAATCTCAAGATACAAATGCGAGATGTGAAATACTGACAGACAGGTATATACTATGCAGGCAAGCCTAAATGACTGCTCTGCAGGTGATTGACACCAAAAAAAATCATCAATTTTTTCAAACCATTATGATTTTAATCCTTTAGGAAGTTTTGCACGGTATTCAAAATGTTGAATTACTCTGACAGCTTTAACTAGAGGTACTGTGAGCAATGAGCTCACTAAATGATACCCCCTGGCTCCCATATCATTATAAAGGCAAAGTCCATGTCTTGCTCTGGAAAACCTGCAATAAATGTCAGATCAAAAAAGTAAAATACAAAGTGCACAATGGCATTATATATTTATAAAGAATCTGTGAAAGTATCATTAAATTTTATCCAGTGGTATTGCAGGAGTTGCAGATAAGAGATGGGTACCCCTCAGTAGTATTGAAAGAATGGCAGTGTCCATGTTTTGCTATGGGAAACCCGAAATATGTGTCCAATCCAAAAGTAAAATAGGAGGTGCATAATGAACTACGTAACAAAGATTCTGTGAAAGTCTCATTCAATTTCATTCAGTGGTATAAGAGAAGTTGCGAATAAGAGATGGATTACCCGAAAGCGTAACAGACAGACGTACAAACAAAGAGACGAATGGATATCCCGATTACTATATACCCTCCCACTTTTCAAGCAGGGGGTATAATAATCAAAGTACTGAAAGTACTGTTAGACGGAGGCTTCATGTATGAGAGAACACAAAAGAAATATATATATCATACATAGCTGTAAAGAATATTTTGAGAAATAATGTGTAGTTTTTTTTTTTCAATTCAACATTTTTTTCAAAGGATACTCCAATATTCATGAGGTTTTTGGGATATTATAATTTCATCTTTGTAATGTAAACTTCGCCATGATTAAAGTTCACTGTTATTTAGATGAGATACTTTCAATATTGAACCTTTCAACATAAGAAACAGTAATTGACTAGGCCTGGTTGACATAAAACTTAGACGGGCTAACTTTTTATCCCAGTTTCACTTAAAGAATATATAGTGGAAAAGTGAGACTGAGATCAAAAGTGAGCTTGTCTAATATAAGTTGTATGCCCCCAGGCCCGGTTTGATGAATGTAGGTCTAGTATGTTCTAGTCATGAGCCCACTGGCGGAATTAAAAGGGGCCCCTGGCCCCCTCCCTTTTGAGTCCAAAAAATACGCAATATTTGATAAATGAGTGTTTTAATTGTGGCTGTGGGCCCCTTCCCTGACCTCAACTGGTCCCCCCTTTTCAGAATTTCTGGATTCAGCACTAGGCCTCAGCCAGTCAGGAGTTTCCATATTTCAAGATATCTTATTTATAGGTCACAGAAACCTACTGTTAACATAATTATGACATGTAACAGCTACCAAAATCAAAATTTCTCGGCCTTATTGTAATAATGTTATGATATGAGCTAACATGGAAAAAGAAGCAGCCAGGTAATTGGACATGAACAACATAATATAGTACAGTTTGTCTTAAACCTTTGTGATACAAAATGGAGTGACCTAGCTTGATGCAACACAGATTTTTCTTTAAGTAATATAAAGTCATTAACATGCAATAAATGTTCGTGCCAGAACACAATTTTTTGAGTGGAATAAAATATACTTTCTTACTTAAAGTGAACAGAACAATAAAGTTCATAATACTTGCTATTTCACAAGTTTAAATTGTTTTTGGAGAACTGGGGTATTGCTTAAAATAACAAAGATATATCTTGACAAATTTGACAACCAATATTTCTGGAATTATTAAATGTAGTATTTTATCATATGACAGATTTAACCCAAAAAATGTCTTTCTTTACTCGTATACCAGTGGAAATGGTTGTCCTTTTCAGTTTATCTGTTTAAAACAATCATTAACAATGAGACATGATTACAAATTACGTAGAGAAAAGTAATAAATATATAACTATGATTTCTGCTTTTCAGTTACTCTGTTCAATCAATCACTTCTCCAATGATGTAGGTTAAAAAAAGTTGACATGAATACCAATGATCAGAAATACATGTAATCTTGTATATAAAAAATAATTAAAGTTTGAGATGTGAAAGAGGTAAAACACAAGTATCAAATAAGGATCAACGATATGACAATAAGACAACTTAATTATTTCAGAAGATATAATTTTTAATTATTAATTAGGATATAATGTGATAAATCATGTAAATCCTATGAACCAAGATTTGGGTTGTACCCAAGGGTCAAAAGTTACAAATGCATTTTGATCTCAATATCAGAGTTGCCGTTTGTTTCTCTCTTATCTAATGTGAGGGTACCCCAAACACTCAAACCGCTTGTAGAAAGTGTAAATCTATTTTCATGTGTTTCCTAAAATTATACATAATTACAAATAAAGAATTCAAAACTATACTGTTAATATTCCTACAGATAAAAATACTATGCATTTGTTTATTCATCGATCCTTGTCAGACTAAAAAACTCCATGAAACCTATTGATGCAAGCGTCAAAAATCGGCCGCAAACCAATTTATCGGCCCTTTCAAGAAGAAATTAGAAAAGGAGTGAAAATGAGATTACAAACAGCAATCAAGCACAAAAAATTCCATTAAAACTGAAATGCTTGATCTATTATTAAAATATCTTATATTTATACCTGCGACATAAAACATTTGCATGCGGCATTGCAGGATTTTCTTCAATACATAATACAGGTACATCTGCGTCTCCACACTTAGTTTGATACAGGCGAATTCTGGTGGAAGTTTTTACAATTAAATATAAAACTAAAGTTTAAACTTATCTATAACTAGAGATAGTTTTTACTTTAATAAAAGAAGCAATTGATAAGTGGGGTTCCTCGATCACTCTTCGCGGATGTTAACCCCCCCCCCCAAACTCCCTCTAGATCCGCCACTTCATTTCTTCTCGTTCTTGTTTTGGTGTGAGAATCGGTGGGAAAAGGCTCGGCATATTGTAAAACACGCTTTATCATCGTCTGTTGGAACAAAATCTCCTAATATTCTGTCTGATAAAAAATTAACAGTAAATTACATTCTTTTTTAAATATTCCGTAGGAAATGTATTTATATGTACACGTCATTTTAAAAATATTAGACAAATCCTGTTTACCGTAATTTCGGGAATATAGGTCGATACTTTTTTTCTCAGAACCGCTGGGGTCGACCAATATTCAGAATTCGACCTATTTAAGGCTCAAGTTTACGAAAAATGCCCCCAAATCAGTAAAATTTACGCCAATTTCAAAGCAAATCTGTGCCACTTTCGTAACTTTTTTGATTATTTTCGCAAAAAAATTAATGCTCCAGTAAACAATAAAATATTTATTCTATAGCTTTCTTACAAAATAAGTTCCATTAATTATCTGTTGATGACAAAGGAAAACAACGTTGCTATATCTATTAAATAATTCCTCAACGTATTATCCATTAACATCATGCGGTATCCATCTTGTGAAGTTAGGAAGTCGCGATCGTGTACTAAAAGTAAAACCGCAACCGTATCAAAATTTAAAATACGGAAAATTTTCACGATCACAACTGTTGTGTTTTTACCATTTATTAGTAGCGATAAATTGAAATAGTATATCAAATATTTTTTATTGTCTTATGGTTATTTAAATGTAAAACGAGTGAAATAATCAATTCAATTCCTAAATTTAATTAAAAAAAAAAGTCATTACTGTTTTTTTTTTTTTAAATATTAATTAATTATTTACCGGTATACACAGATTGGCTTCTAACAGAATTTTAATTGTCTGACAGATAAAGGGATTTACCGTACACTGTGTACGCAAAGGTGTTTAACACCTGTGTTCACTGTTGGTTTAAATGCCTGCGGGGCATGATTAAGAAACCCACGTGCCATTATAGGGTATTAGTGTTACACATCATTGAACAAACAATGTCGTGAAATTCATGTTGAAAGTCAAATTGTGAATGTACTCTCAATTAAAATTTATAAATTAAACTTATAGAGTGTTAATATGATTTCAATTCTTTACTGTTGCTTGATATATACATTCAATGGTCATTTGCGTGTTTTAGCAAATCCCTGGAGAAGAAAAATAAAAATGGCGGACATCGAAGTAATTGTCGTCCACCGGTAAATAATGTTTGAGTAAAATTTATTAGGAATGTGTCCAAGTTGTTCTGAAATCGGAATTACTATTCTTTGGTCTCGGGTATCTCCCGATTTATAGCTGTAAAATAATAACGTATTTACGTGTTATTTATGCCTCTGATTTAACAACAGTGTGAAACTACGGAGGCATTGAACAGGCAAGTTGGAGAAAAATAAGTAGTTACACAATTCAAAGAAGTTTTAACTACATTTTTTTTTACAAAACAGTATTTAATTGCTGTACTCATTAAAATACCTGTTTATTTTCTTGATACGTTCATGTCACGGAATAACCCCGATAATTTTAGGGGTTTACCTGTTCTGATACGTTGTATCTGCGTTAAAATCTTAAGAAAACGGGAAACAAAGCCTCGTCCTATATAGTAAGTTCGACCTATCTTAGGATTTTTCAAAATTTAAGGCTGAAAATGAGCCTTTCGACCTATATACCCCATCGACCTATATTCCCGAAATTACGGTATTTAGAAAAAGTAGAACTGTTTGTTTATACTTGTATGTGACGCGATCTTTGTTTTAGACTATGCCTATCCTTGCGGTCGGTGTTACTCAGAGTCGCTCTAAAAATAGAATTCTCAAGGTAATGAAAACAATTCCACCGATAGATGGTGCTTGGGAAATCTTTCCTGTTTACATTCCATGGGCAAGACAA